CAGCTAGTTATTCTATGTTTAGTAGAGACAGGGTCTCACTCTGGCTCAGGCTGGACTCAAACTCCTGAAATCAAGAGATTTCAGGATCCAAACTCCTGAAATCAAGAGATCCTTGGCTTCCCAGAGTGCTAGGATTACAGGCGTGAGCCACCATGCCCAGCCTTCATAAATCATTATTTTATATTCTATGCTGAAAATTCAGATAGCTAAAGTTTTCAGGGATCTTCATCCAGTTTTTATGTTGGTTTGTTTCTCCTGCATATAGGTCATCTTGCCTTACTTCTTTATGTGTTCAGTGACTTATACTTTTCTCTGGAGAGGATTCTCTGCAGTAGGATAGTTAACCAACCTTGTAGCATTATAATCTAATCAGTCACCTTGTAGGCTTCCTGACTGAATGGCTAAACGACATGTGAACCAAAACTATAGAAGCTTTTGATTAAAAACTCACAGGGATTCTTCTTCACTCTTCTCTTCTTTTTGGTCCTATACCAAAAGGACACTTCAACATATAAGGTCAGAGACAAGATAACTTAAAGTGGAAGAGGAAATGAAAGGGAAAAGTAGGGTAAAGAAGCATACAAAAAGAAAACATTCATGATGAAGAACGAACAGAAAAATCCTGGCAACATGAAAAACCGGAACAGAGTAACCCCCCAATGGATCATGAGGTAGCTACTCTACCTATAAAGAAATGTCAGAAATGACAGAGAGGGAATTTAAAATGTGCATGGTAAAAACAATGAAGGAAATTGTTGAGAAGGTGGAAAATAAACAAAAAGAAATCCAAAACCAGAACCAGATAAGAAATGAAAGATATGAAGAATATAGATAGGATATAGAGAAGCTTAAATAATTGAAGCTGTCAATCAGGGTTCTTAAAGATGCAAAAGAGGATATCAACAACAGATTAGAACATGGAGAAGAAAGAATCTCAAAGCTAGAGGATAAAGCTCTTGAGCTAACACAGGTAGTTAAAGAGGCAGAAAAGAAGAGAAAGAAAACAGAATGTTCACTGAGAGAATTATGGGACTTCATGAAGCATTCAAACATATGAATTATAGGTATCCTAGAAGGGGAAGGAGAACTCCCCAGAAGAATGGAAGCCTTACTAGAGGATATCTTAAATGAAAATTTCCAAGGTATCACCAAAGATACTGCCACACTCCTTACAGAGGAGTATCTAACCCCAGGTCATCTCAACTCAAACAGAGCTTCTCCAAGACACATCGCCATGAACCTATCCAAAGTCAAAACAAAAGAAAAAAATTCTGCAAGAATCCAGAAGGTAGCACCAATTTAACTAAAGGGGAAAACCCCTGAGTGACAGTAGACTTCTCAAATGGAACTTTTCAAGCCAGAAGAAAAGGTCATCTGCCTTTAACTTTCCTATACAAAACCATTTCCAGCCCAGAATTCTGTATCCTTCTAAGCTAAGCTTTAAAACTGATGGAGAAATCAAATCTTTTACTGATGTGCTAACACCGAGGAAGTTTGCCACAAGACCAGCTCTACAGGAAATATGTAAACCTGTTCTTCACACTGACCATCACAATGTACCAACACCAAACATAATTCCTAGAAACTAAAGGACAAAACCTAGCTTCCACATGACTCAAAAGATAAAACTAAGCACTGGACTTTCACAAAATAAGATGAGTAGAACTCCACCACACTTATCAGTTCTCTCAATAGATGTTAATGGCTTGAATTCCCCACTGAAGAGGCACAGGCTGGTTGACTGTATAAAAATGCACAAGCCATCTGTATGTTGTACACAGGAAACTCACCTAACCTCAAAGGACAAAGCACGACTCAGTGAAGGGATGGAAAACAATATTTCAGGCAAATGGAAATCAGAAGGAGGGGTCACAATCTTATTTTCAGATACAAGTGGATTTAAGGCAACTTTTAAAGCAAAAAAAAGACAAAGATGGACACTTCATATTTGTCAAGGGAACAATACAACAAGAGGAATTTCAATTCTAAATGTTTATGCACCCAACTTAAATGCTCCCAAAATTATGAAACAGACCTTAACTGGCCTGAGCAATATGATATCCTATAACACCATAATATCTAGGGACTTTAATATTCCTCTTACAGAGCTGGACAGATTATCAAAATAGAAACTACATAAAGATACAAGGACTTAAATGCAATGCTAGAACAGCTGTGCTTAATAGACATACAGAATACACCATCCCAAAGGTAAGGAATATACGTTCTTCTTGTCAGCCCATGGAATATTCTCCAAAATAGATCACAGCCTAAGACACATATCAAACCTCAACAAAATCAAAAGAATAGAAATTAGACCCTGTATCTTCTCAGACCACAAGGCAATAAAGGTGGAACTCAACTCCAACAAAAATTTTCACCCCCACACAAAGGCATGGAAACTAAATAACCTTATACTGAAAGACAGTTGGGTCAAGAAAGAAATAAAGGAGGAAATCATTAACTTCCTTGAACACAACAACAAAGACACAAGCTACCAAAACCTGTGGACCACTGCAAAGCAGTCCTAAGAGGGAAATTTATTTATCTGAGAAACAGAGAGAATATCAACAATTTAATGAATCACCTTAAAGAAATGTAAAAGGAAAAGCAATCCAACACCAATAACAGAAGAAAAGAAATAACCAAAATTAAAACAGAAATAAATGAAATTAGAAACAAAAGAATCATTCAGAAAATTAATGAAACAAAAAGTTGGTTCTTCAAAAAGGTAAATAAAATTGGTAAACCATCGTCCAGATTAGCCAGAATTAGAAAGGTAAAATCTTTAAAAGCCTCAATCAGAAATGAAAAGAGGGAAACAACAACTGATGCCATGGAGATATAAGAGATTATTTCTGATTACTATCAAAAACTCTATTACCAGAAATTTGACAATATGGTGAAAATGCACCAATACCTGGACTCATACCATCTCCCTAGACTTAACCAGGAATAAACAGACATATGGAACAGAATAGAAAATCAGGAGACGAAACCAGTCTCTACTTGCCATCCGATCTTTGATAAACCAAACATAAGCATACAGTGGAGAAAAGAATCTCTATTCAACAAATGGTGCTGGGAGAACTGGATAACCACATGTGAAAGACTGAAACTGGACCCACATCTTTCATTACTTACAAAACTTGACTCAAGATGGATAAGATTTAAATCTAAGACATGAAATGATAAATATCTTTGAACAAAGTGTAGGGAAAACTCTTGATGATGTTGGACTGGGGCAAGATTTTATGACAAAGTCTTTAGCAGCAATCACAACAACAACAACAAAAAGGGACTTAACTAAGCTGAGAACTTCTGCACAGCAAAGGACACAAGTAAAGGAAAAAGACAACCTTCAGAATGGAAAAAGATATTTGCAGGGTATGCATCTGAGAATGCGTTGATAACTACACTCTACAGAGAACTCAAATTAATCAACAAAAAAAGAGTAAATAATCCCATCTACCACTGGGCAAGAGACATGAGTAGAACCTTCTCTGATGAAGACATATGAATGGCTAGCAAGCATTTGAAAAAAATGCTCATCATCCTTGATCATCAGAGAAATGCAAATCAAAACCACCCTGAAATATCACCTAACCCCAGTGAGAATAGCCCACATCACAAAGTCTCAAAGCTGTAGATGCTGGTGTAGATGTGGAGAGAAGGGAACACTTTTATTCTATTGGAGGGAATGCAAACTAATACAGCCTTTTTGGAAGAAAATATGGAGAATCTTCAAGGAACTCAAATTAAACCTCCCATTTAATCCTGCAATCCCACTACTAGGCATCTACTCAAAAGGAAAAAAAAAATCATTTTATCATAAGAATATTTGCACTAGACTGTTCATTGCAGCTCAATTTACAATCACCAAAATATGGAAACAACTTAAATGTCCATCAACCCAGAAACAGATTAACAAGCTATGATATATGTATACCATGGAATACTATTCAGCCATTAAAAAAGATGGAGACTTTACATCTTTTGTATAAACCTGGATGGAATTGGAACACATTCTTCTTAGTAAAGTAGCACAAGAATGGAGAAGCAAGAATCCAATCAATTCTAGTATGGAGCCAGTAGATGATCCATTACACAGTCACATAAGAGAAAAACTCAAATCGAAGTGGGGGGCAGGGGAACCACGTAGTGGGGAGAGGGGAGGAGAGAGCGGTATGGGGGTATTCCCTCTTAATGGGCACAATGTTAGGATGGCACACTTCTTGGGGGCAGGTCATAATTATAAGAGGGACTTTACCTAACAAAAGGAAACATTATAACCTAATTCTTTATACCTTCAATTAAAAAAAAAATAAAATTGAAGATAAAATTCTAAATCTATACATAAGGGCCTAAAATAACTACAGGCAGTCCCCAGGTTATCAACAAGATAGGTTCTGTAGGTTTGTTCTTAAGTTGAATTTGTATGTAAGTTGGAACAGGTACATTTACCTGTAATACCCTCTGTTCAGTTCATAAGTACAAGTTGTATGTAAGTCAGATGTTTGTAACTTGGGGATGGCCTGCACTCAAAACAACTGTTGCCATATCTTTTGATTTACGGTTATACCTCCTACACCTTGAAAGAATGTAGTGTGTAAGGAATAATGGGAATAATTAGAATTATAAATTAATAAATAATCCAACATATTGGTGCATTTAAGTGTCATTAATTGCGAGATGCACTGTTGACATGCAGAGCACTGCCAAGGGAGCTAGCACACAGGCCCTGGACTGGAAGACATTTGGTTAAAATCCAAAAGGGATGCTACTCCAAGGCAATGAACCAGAGCACTCTAAGACTACGAGAGCGCGGAAGTGCTCTCAAGTAAGTCTCCTCACTGAATCCTCACCAAAGCACTGCAGCACTGGCAGGATGGGGGGCTGCAGCCTGTTCCATGGTGGGAGATATGGAGGCAGTGGTGGGAAGGACCAAGGGGCAGCAGTGGCCAGCTCTGCCCCTCTCCCTCTCCATCACCAGCACTCACCGGGCTGTGTGACTCCAGGATCTGGGTGCAGGCAGCCGTGGTCAGCATCTCAGACACGCTCAGCTCCTCCAGGAACAAGTCCTGGATGCTGAGGAGGGCGGTGTATGCTGACAGCGTCTCAGTTACCTGGGCGGCTTTCTGGAACTGCAGAGCCACAAGCATCTGGGCAAAATGTCCTTCCTGGGCCTCTAGCCTCTGCACTCTCTCTCGCAGCAGCTCACCTTGAACCTGGGAAGGACAAGCCCCAAATCAGAGAGCAGGCAGTGAGTGGAGAGGGCACTGACTGTGGACTCTGAGAAGCATCCCTAGGGCTTAGGGGGAGGCAGCGCTGGGACCCATGGCAACATATGAAGGCCAGAGTGCCCTGCTCATGGAGGCTCTAGGGGGCTGTAGGAGTGGAGCTGTCCTACATCCTCTATTCACAATTTCTAAGGTCACTCAAGGCTGACACCATCTGCTCAAAACCCTTCAAAGGCTCCCATGTTCTAGAGGAGGGAAGCTCCAACATCTTAGCACCAGCTCCAAGGCCCTTCCCACCAGAGCTCAGCCAAGGTCTCTCTGGACAGGCCTGTTCTTCTGCTGTACCCACCACACACCTGAGACTCCGTCATTCCCAATCACACACTGTGCCGGGCACACCAAGCCCTGCATCTTTAGCTAACGCTCTTTACAATCACTGAAATGCCCTTCCATCCTTGTCTTCCTGCTTTAGAGATCTGAATTGTCGCCCAGCAAACCCCTATCTTCCCATAGTTACTTTTTCACTGTAAATTCACAAAAATATATTTATACCTTTATTCATTTATACAAAAAATATTTAAGGAACAACAACTACATATAATATAAAGGAATGTGTGACCCACCTAAGGGGGTGAGGACGGGTAAACAAGAAACAAATTGGACGTGGCTGTGACCTTCAAAGAGCTCTTGAATGGGGCACAGGTACAGTGATAAAGGGCATGGGCACGACACCAGAGCTGGAAAATCTTCCATCAGATGTATAATCAATCCATTTTTAAAATATTTAAAAAAAGAAAAGAAGAATTTGACATATGTACCCACACAGTTACTGTTGGCTGTTGTGGTTGCTCTTGGTGGTGGCATTTATCATCATTACTGAAGGTAGAAAATGGTGCATGTCATAAGGGAAGTCCGTATTCAGTGCTATGGCAGTTTACAGGAGGGAGGAGGTAGAGGGATCAGGAAAGGCTGTGAGGATACTGGCATCTGAACTGCTCCTTGAGGGACTCAGGCAACTGGGAAGAGAAATGGCATAACTGGAGGCTCTGGGGCAGGAGCCACTACGGAGCTCGCTGAGAGGCTGAGTTAGACCAAAGCTGAAAGGGAAGGTGAAAGATGAAGCCAGGAGGTTGGGCGGAAACCGTTCTGCACAGCCCTGCCAAGGATGGGAGGCAGATCTCCTGAGACAATGGGAAGGATGAGCCAGCTCAGAGACCCTGAACAAGAACATCCTGAATGATGAGCAAGAAGCAGGTTTGGGTCCCCTCTGCTGTGCACCTGCCATGAGCACAGATTCCCATGCTCCCTCCTGTGGTCTCAATCTTCCTCTCTTGAGTGTGGTACAAGGTGGTCCAAGTGTCCTATGAGACCTAGTTCCCTGAAGACATGCAGGTACAGTGTGGTGGCCATGGGGGACAGCTCAAGATTTATTTATGCAAATACATGTCTAAAATGCAGGCAAAGCACGAGCCTTTAGCATGTACTATAAAAACAACATAGACAGTGGGATTAAAAAAAAACAAAGATGCTCCAGAATAATTTTTCTTCTTCAGAAAGTTCACTTTGTTAGTTCCAGCACCATGAGAATATGTTTTTAGAGAGGGTTTTAATCCATGTTTAGAAGACACCCTGGTAATAGGAAGATGTGCACTTCTATGAGGCATTAATGACAGGCTTCATTAAATATTCAAGCTATTCAAAATGACACAAATTAACAACTATAAGAGGGACTCTACCTAACAAATTGAAATATTTTGACCTGGTTTGTACCATCACATTAACTGGAAATTTAAAAAAAATACAAATTAATTTGCAAAACAATATGCTCCTAATACCCTTAGTTTAAATAAAAAGTTCCAACAACTTCCTTACTTGTTTTCCCGACTGCTGTGAACTGCAAAGAAGTTTCTTCTGTGCACTGTGAAGTCCTTTAAGTGCATAATAAAATCTGCCTGTGTCAACCAGCAGAGAGTTTATGGAGTTTAAAAAATCACATCCTGCCTTCTTGCCCAAATTTGAAAACAAATGTAACTAGATGCATGGGTGAGCCAGACAGTTGTTAAATGTTAACTTTGATATTGATGAAAACTAGACTGGAGAATGTGGCTCAGATCTGTGTCTGATTAAATTTACATTCCTCCAAATAGGCCTCCCCAGAAGATCCAGTTCTTAATTGACAAGAGATTGGGGGCTTCCTGCAGGTGACTGGCTGCCAGAGAGGGGTTCTCTCCCCACTGCACAACCCCGCCTACCATGAGCCTGCTCCATCCCTCTTAAAAAAATGCCCTCCCTGGAGAAAAGTGGTCAAGGAATGTAAATGAGGCTGGCAGTGTCACTAGTGACAGTCTCCAGGTGGAAAGAGAGGGTCAAGAGAGGTAGCATCCAAACATTGGAAAGAGAGGACTAATGAATGTGTGCGTCTGAAGATTCCCATGCTAGTGGCTGGTCCTCTCACAAAGCAGGTTTGCTTTTTGTTCTGGGAGAGAGTATCACTCTATCCCCTAGGCTAGCGTACAATGGCTTCATCATAACCCATTGTAACCTCAAACTCCTGGGTTCAAGCGATCCTCCTACTTCATCCCCCAAGGTAGCTGGAACAATAGGCACTTACCACCCATCTGGCTAATTTTTTCTATTTTTAGCAGAGATGGGGTCTTGCCCTTGAAAGGTGTAAAGGATGGTGCCCAGAGGCTGCAGAGATGTTCAGGCCTGGTTTATTAAAAGGGGAGGATGACCTGCCTAGGTAGTACAAATATGGCCTCTGTGCCCAGTTAGAGACCTCTTTTATGTAGGGCCATAGGGAGTGGGCACATTCCACAGCTTGTTTGGCAAGTTAGGCCCTTTTGGCTTAGAGTTAGGGTTAGAACTTCTTAGGGGGTAGGCTAGCCAGATACTTTGTGTTTTGTCTTGGGGTGGGGGACAGGGTTTCTGTGTGCCTGCCTTAGCCACCTCCCCCCAACAGCTCTTGCTAAGGCTAGTCTCAAACTCCTGAGCTCAAGGTCAAGGGATCTTCCTGCCTCAACCTCCCAGAGTGCTGGGATTACTGGTGTGAGCCACCCTGTGCAGCCAAAAGCAGGTTGGTTTAACCTGAGTTCTGTTGGATGAGTTCAAGATGCCCAGACCAAGAAAAAAGATGCAAAATGTTTAAGAATCTCCCTTGCATTCTGCATCAGAAGGAAAGTGGACTCAGGAAATGTTCACTACTGAATGAAAGGCTGTCTTACTAAGTAAGCATCGTTAGTGATTAAATTTGACAGATAGAGAAACTAATTTCTATGCCTGGAAAGATACTGTCAGCCACCCCCATCAGGAATAACACACAGGCCAGTAAGGTGGCAAGAACTCAGTTTCTGAACGTGGTTTCATGACCCTGGCATCACTTCACCTCGCCATGCCTTAAATTTCTTCTTTCTAGCATGGCCTTGTGTGAGGACTGGAGGACAGGTGGAGGGCACTTAGCTCCCAGCAGACATTACTAGCACAGGTAAGGACATATGTATAGCTACTCAACACAGCTCGCATGGGCTCATACATACACACAAACATATGTGCAGATCAATACAGCATATTCACGTGCAAATCCACACACACACACTGCTTAACCAGGCTCCTGGAAGCAGACAAAGGTGGTGGGCCGTATTCTCAGTAAGATCACATCTCGGGAAAGGACATAAATTCTCATATCAGCACATCAGCAGACGTGAACCTAACACCCTTGGAAATGCTCTGGGCAGCAATAACTCTCCTCCTCAGTCTTAACGGCAGGCGGGTGTTGTCTTCTGGCTTGTTTGTGGGGGCCGTGTGGTAGGACAAAGGCCGACCCCCAAGGTGAGCTCAGGGCAGAGAGAGCTGCCAGTGACACAAAGTTTGCCCATTTAAGGCTGGACAAGGCACCCCAATTTTCCTAGGCCTGGGCAATTTCATGAGGGGAACGCCCTGACCTTTTGCCGTGAGTTGGAGAGACTGCATTCATTTGTCAAAGCACTCATTAACACCAAGTCCTGGCCAAATGCAATTCTCAAGCCCTTATACCCCTAGACAAAGGACCCAGGTGGAAACTTCTGACTTGGGTCTTTCCCGAGAAGCTGTGGTGCTTTGTACTCCTTCTGTATTCCTTTCTGTCTAATATATCCTGTCTTACCACTGATCTGTGGTCTGTGGGTTCATTCTTCAAATCCCCCAGACCAAGGACTTACTGTAGAAATTCCAGTAATACCAGGACTGGCCTGGGGAGCTCAAACCCCATGGGCCCCTCACATCACCCTTGCTTAGGGGCCTCTGCTAAACAGGTGAAGTGGCTGCTGGGCTCCCTGCCAGCTCAGCTGGCCTTTATTCTCACCCCTGCTCCTATGTCTCTCTCCTTCTTACTGTCTTGCCTTTTTTTAAAATCACATGCCTTTTGTGGAACTTCCATAGGTGTCTATGAACGTGTGGCAAGTAGACATGATGGGTAAGCTGGGAAGATCCAGGATCTTCCCATCCAGATGGACATGGCTTTGTGGGTCACCACCTGTTGGCTAGATGTCCCTGGACATGTCACACAGCCTCCTGGTGAGGCTGCTTCTCACATGTCACCCGATGACCCCGCACACGAGGGTTCCCAGGGCAGGCTGTCTTCACGCATTTCATCTGCACCAGAGAGATGCTTGGCTGTCTGTTTTCTTCTTCCATCTTGAAGTCTCTGTCCATGCTATTCAAGAAGTGATAACTAATCTGGGACTAGGACCCCGTGTCAAGTGGGGGGCTGCAGAGGGGGCTGAGGCAGACCATGTCTCATCACACACCTGGTGCTGACCCTGGGATGGGGACTAACCTTTATGAACCTCAACAAGCCATTCTTGCAGCAATAAGGCAGTCTGGAGATCAAAGCTCATGGAAAGCATGGCCAAGGAGCCTGGTATCTGACTGGGATTCCATAAAGACTAGAAGCAGTTTTGCTTTTAATATTGCTGCATGGTATTAACACTGATTATCTCAGAAACCGTTAACTATGAACAGAGCCCTATTTTATACATTGTGACTAACTGGGAGAGCAATCAGCTTCTAAAGACTATGGATAACAAATAAAAAAAAATAAGGTTGAGATATTTTCTGTAATAATACCCAGAGTATTGGATTTACAAACTAAGTGGTATGAAAGAAACCATGAAAAGTAGGCTGGACATGCTGCCTCACACCTATAATCCCAGCACTATGAGAGGCCAAGGCAGGAGGATCCCTTGAAGCAGGAGTTTGGAACCAGCCTGGGCAATATAGGTAGACCCTATTGCTACAGAAAAATTAAAAAGCATTAGCCAGGTGTGGTGGTGTACACCTGTAATCCTAGGTACCGGACACAGGGAGGGTGATTTGGGAGGATCATCTGAGCCCAGGAGTTCAAGGTGGTGGTGAGTTTTAGTTAGGCTGCCACAATCAAGTCTGGGCAACAGAGCAAGACCCTGTCTGAAAATAAAATAAGATTAACACAAATAAGAAAAATGGTAATGAGAGACACCAAGCTAGAACATCTTCGTCTTCCTCAAATTGGCCTTTGAGAACATTCCTCCTGGGTGCTGCTCCGCCATCTCCTTGCTATGACCCAGCTCTATAAGGAAAGCAGCCTCTCCAGTGGCCTCTGGTGTGGGCTGGAACACCCACTGTCTCTGCTAAACCACACCCTACTATGTCCTTCCCCAGCTGCCCACTCTGCTTGGACGACAGAGAATTCCAGACCAGCCATGTGGAGGAAACACTGGCCCTCTCCACACGTGGCCACCTCCTCCCATGACCCCTTGTGCAGGGCTCCCAGTCTCCATGCACCCCACATGCTGCTGCACCCGGGTGAGGCCCCCCGGTGCAGGGCTCCTGGCCTCCCTGCACCCTGCATGCTGCTGTCCCCAGGGGTAGGGCCCCAGAGTTCATTAATGCAGTGCCTGGGACATTGCTGCCTCCCAAAAACACTTAAGGAATGGATGAACCATGTGAAAGGTGTTGCAACAAGAAAGGGATGTGGGGGCAGGTGGGGCAAGTGGGAAGGTGTTCAGGGAAGGCTTCTTGGAAGAGAGGACACCTGAGGACAGAGGCAACACTTTAGGGCAGCAAGGACAAAAGTTACTTGCTCACATCAAGAAAGGTAGAAAGTTAATTCTGGGAAGAGGGAAGAACCCAGACTAAAGCGGCCCAGGGGACTGTGTGGCGCACAGGAACCTCACAGGTAAAGCAGGGCTGTGGGGCGACCAGTCTGCCTATGGAGCACAGAGGAAGGGGTGCAAGGTGAATAGGGAGACTGAGTGGGACAGAAGATACAGATGACCCGGGACAGAGCCAGACACAAATACGGCAGCCGCCATGTTCAGCAGAGGCAGCACTTGACGGGAGGCCTGAAGGACACAGGGAGATCCCAGGCAGAGTAGAGGAAGGCGATTCCAGAAAGAAAGCATAGTGGAAAGGCCAGTCTGGTCCAAGGTCCACATGTGCTTGAGTGGAGATGGAAGGCACAGCCCCGCACATGTCCCATGGGCCTGGGAGTGGGTGGCTGTCAGCCTACCATGTGCAGAGAGGAATGACAGCTGAGGCTGGCACTGACCTTTTCAACCAGGTCTTCAGGGGCCTGTTCCTCCCAGAGGTGAATTTTATCTTCAATGCACTTCTTCAAAAGGTCTATTTTGTTTTTACTCTTGGACCGTGGCTTTCTCCCCTTGGACTGTTGCTAGAGATAGGGCAGAGAAAATACAGCAAGAAGGCAGTCACCCATGAGTCCATGTGGTCAGCCATGAGTCCATGCAGCCCCCAGGGTTCTGCAGGCCAACAGAAGTATCTGCAGCTCCCAGAACTGTAAAACTCTGCCTTAGGACAGAGGGGAAGGAAAGCATGTTTCCTGGAAGGAGCTCAGCCTCAGGACCTTGAATCTTCATGTGCCCTAGGGACTCCTCCCATCCAAGGCCAGATAGGGAGTCTAATGGGCAGAGCCAGAGCTCTGGAGCCCAACCAGTCAGGGGGACTCTGACTCCTAAGCCAGATCTCCTTAAGTCCCCAGGCCAGGCTTCCCTCAGATGGCACACGAGTTAACCTAATAGGGACAATGCCTAAAAAGGACAGTGTGTCTGCACTGCTCAGGGGCAGAGCCAGGCTGGGGGGCTGTACCCGGAGTCCCCTCACTGAGTTTGGATTGGGGCTGGGGAGGGACCACCCAGAGGAGGGCAGGGCCAAGGGCTGACTATGCACATCTCTGCCCAGCTCCACAGACAGTGACAGCAGGTTAGCAGCCAGAAACTGGCCTTGCGAGGAGTATTTACACCATGGAAATGGGCAGTGCTTCCAGTCAGGATGTCCCCACCCCTCTTTCCCAGCATGGGTCTGGGTGGGGTCCAGGCCACCTGGATCCTCCAGAGCATGGTAGAACCTCTGTTCCCACAGAGAGGTCTGGGGAAAGGTCAGAAGGAGGAGGGCAGGGAATCTGATCTGTAGTCAAGTTCAGGGCCTGAAGGCTCCTGTGAAACTCATTTCCATAAATGATCTGAGAGCCCTGTGGCCATGCAGCCCCCTTTCTGTCCCCATTACATATCATCTAGACAGAGGTCAGTGGGGAGGACAAGGACAGACATGGACATGGGGGTCCTCCTGGTGATGAGGAGACAGATAGGTGGGGTGCTGAGGAAACAGCAACACACTGAGCCTCCTCCACTAATTCTGCTCTACCCATCAGACAACCAAATGCCCCTGTGATCCCCATTAGCCATGTGATGATGAAATGATGAAGATTAAAAATTAAATTTTGGGGCTCGACGTCTATGGCTCAAGCGGCTAAGGCGCCAGTCACATACACCTGAGCTGGCGGGGTTGAATCCAGCCTGGGTCTGCCAAACAACAATGATGGCCGTAACCAAAAAAAAGCTGAGCATTGTGGAGGGCGCCTGTGGTCTCAGCTACTTAGGAGGCAAAGGCAGGAGAATCGCTTGAGCCCAGGAGTTGGAGGTTGCTGTGAGCTGTGATGCCACAGCACTCTACCCAGGGCGACAGCTTGAGGCTATGTCTCAAAAAAAAAAAATTAAATTTTTGCCCGAGGCCTTGCAGTGCTCAGGAAATTGTGTGCAGCCTCCATCATCCCCTGCTTTCTCAGGATGGAACCGGTGAAGGAAGCTGTACCCGGTGGCTGAGAGCAGGGCCCTGCTAGCCTGGGCCTTCCTCCTGGAGAATGTGGAGCAAGCACCTTCCCATCAGGGCAGACGACAAAAGGACCAGCTTAAAAGTAGGGAACACCGCAGGCTGTTTTCCTTCAGTAATATGGAATATTCCCCCTACTATTCTAAAATCTTAAATTTCTGATAATTTATCCTTTACTCTTGAACTATCCCCATGTTGTATATCCTACACCCTTATACAAACAGAAACAGAAAACAATCTTTTGTTTTAAATGGAAAGAATGTAATGGCTTCTAAGTTGTTTCTGCATTCACTGATTTTCATTCAGAAAGGATATGTCTGAAATTTGTTTCTCCTTCATTTTTTTTATTTTTATTTTTTCTCTTTCTAAAGGAAGATAGTGGGTTTGAAGCCCTCGGAACGTAGGTCTCCACTTCCTAGAGGTATACTCACTTTCCCTCTGCTGGTCAGTTTTCTCATCTGTAAAATGGACGTGTAATATTGACCTGGCACTACTGTGAGCTACAGGGGAGATAATATAAGCTTAAGTGATGTTAATATTTTCAATCTCAACATATTGTCACCTCAAGCAAAGCCCCACTGTTCTGCACACGTTTGGTGGTTGGCTGGTTGGACATGCCAGTATCATTCACGGCACACCCACCATGAACGCAGCACACTTGAGTGGTGAGGTGAGCGGATTGTGGAGCCCAGACAATGGACAAGTCAATGGGCCAGAACATTCCCATAATGGTAAATAATAGAAGACGTGAAACACAGCCATGTGGTAACAGCGCCTGTGGGAGAGGGTTATTTTAGACAGGTGCTCAGGGGAGGCTTCTCTATGGAGGTGACATTTGACTGAGGCCTGAATAGACTACAAAGCAAAAGAAAGAGCATGCTCAATGGCCTTGTCTTAGCTCAGTTCCCCAGAGGCAGAGCCTGAGGCAGGGATTGGGTACACCTGGTTCCTGTGGGAGGTCTCCTTAGGAGAACCTGGCAGGAAACAGGAACCAGGACAGGAAGGGCAGGGCCACCCGAGCTATGGCCTGGTCTGGTCCACAGGGACTCTTGAAGCAGCAATTGCCCCAGTGTTGTCTGTCCCCAGGACACAAGAAGGACTCACTAAAAGGCAGCTGCCCATCATCGTCCTTCATTACCCCATGCAAGACCCCCCTTTCCTGACCCGCCTAAGCTGACTCCAGCACCCGTACTGTACTCCTTAAAGAGGAGCCTCTTGTACCCTGCCCTGGTCACTTGCTGTGGCTGACAGAAGATGCGGCAGGGGGAATCACATTGTAGGCCAGGTGGCTCCCTCAGGAGAAAAGCGTAGGTGGGACCCAGGAGCAGCCAACACCCACCGGCACTGGTGAGTGGTACACCCTGGGTGAGGGGACCTGGGTACAGCACCAATATCCCACCATAGATGTAGAGGTCAGGGCAAACTTGAATGTTTTGGGACAGTCAGATGCCAACACAGGTGGAGAGAACAACATGGGGGAGTGTGAGGTGAGAAGAGCTCAGGAGGCCAGACCCTGGGAGTATCACTGGCTGGGAGACAGCCCTCCCTCCACTCCCAACATGTCCATCTTACCTGGAGCTCAGGGGCAGCCAGTGCCTGGTCCAGCCGCAGGCACTCTGCTTCCCGCCAGGCAGTCTGAAACCGCTGCAGCAGGACTCGCGCCCGGATCCTGGGGAGGGCCAAGCTCCTGTCCATCTGAGCGAAGCAGCCATGGACCTCCTGCTGCATCCTGAGCAGCTGCTCTTCTGACAGGGAGAAGGCTGAGGAGCAGAGTTTCCTGTGGAGGGAGAACAGCAACAGGCTCTTACTCAGAGAAAACGTGAAGCTAGGAAGAGGAAGGTCATTGGTCAAATCCCTGCCTGTAGAAAGTGACATGAGCTCCTCAACCACGCACTCCTTCCACATGCATTTCCTGAGCACTGAGGCACCTCGTGTGGGACACGGCATCATACTGGGGCTGAGAAGTTAGAGGGGCATGAGGAAAGCCTGGGAGGGTATCTCTTCCAGCGTTCGTGACCTTGAAGATGACTGGTCTTGCTTTGGAAACAGACAGGACAACAAAGCATTGTCCACTGAGTCAGGTCAGCAGCACACTGTACACAGGGACCAGTGGCATGAAGGAGAGGTGCTCGGCTCAGATCAGAGACTCAGGAAAGAGGGGCGCCTCTTGCATTGAGTGATTGATTATTGTGGGTTGAATTGTGTCCCCCCAAGAGATATGCTGAAGTCCTAATCCATGTTACCTGTGACTGTCACTTTATTTAGAAATAGCATCTTTGCAGATGTCATAAAAGAAGTTAAGATGAGCGAGGTCAGACTAGAGTGAAATAGGAGAAGACCAACATAGAGGCAGAAGTCCACGTGAGGACCGAGGCACAGGGAGTGACACATCTGCAGGCCAGTCAACACCAGGTGTCAGCAGCACCAGACGCTGAGGGAAAGGCAGGGAACAGGTTCTGCCCCAGAGCATTCAGCCCTACCAACACCCGGATCTTAGAATTCTGGCCTCCAAAATTGTAAAAGAATCAGCTCCCCTGTTTGTGGCACTGCGTTAAGCAAGGCTAAGGAATGAACATATCTACCTACATCACTGCTAGTCCTTATACCAACTAGCCCTCAATTATAGATGTGGAAATTGAGAATATCCCCTTCCTTTCTGGAGAGCCTCCTGCCACCTTCCCAGACTCGCTGGAGCCAGCTGTGGCCACCAAGATATAAGGAGAAGTCTGCTGGGAACTTCTAGCCAGAATTTCCTCCCTGACCCAGGAAAAGGCAATTCTGGGAGTGGTTATTCTCTTCCTTCTTCCTTTGGGCAATGTGTGTCTACCATTTATTCATTTAACAAACAGTCTCTGTAGACAAAAATGGATCCGTGTGCTTATTCTGGTAACGTTCTGTCAACAACGGCTACATAAAATAAACTTTCGGAAGTATCTGCAGAATACCTGGGGCCAGGCCTAGTGCACCAAATGGCAACGTGGGAAGTCAGGGCTCTGGTTACAGCTAGTAAGTTCTCTCATGGAAGCAGAACGGGATCTTTAAGGATCAACCTCACATCATGCGACACCCCTGTCCTGGGTGCCTCACTAGGCTGGTCTTCAACTTTTAAAGCACCTCCTGAAACTGTAGCCACTCCCCTGGCACCTTCCCTTGGGCAGAGCCTTTGGTCACATGGGATCCAAGGAAAAGCAACCCTGAAATGCATCTGAGTGTTAGGACTCAGATGGATACATGACTGCAGGATACAGGCCTCTCTGGAATCTGGTGCTTCCAACCAAACTGGGCCCAGTAATCTTGTTGTAATCTCCTGTTATGCAAGTACCGGGAGAATACAAGAATACAGGAGGAAGAAACTTTGCCCTGAAGGAATTTAAAATCAAGGAACTTAGGAAAGACGTTTCAAAGACACACATTCCCTGGCAAAAGTGTACCTCATTAATTCCTTCTTTGGCCAACCAGTTTTACAGCAACCCCATCTTGCTTGAAATTGGGAAACTTATAAAAAGGTTTCAGAACCGTTGTGCAGTGCCATCTTTATATAATGCCTCAGAAGGAAGCCTGAGACCTTTTAGAATCTTTTTTTTTTTTTAGATTTTTTATTTATTTATTTTTTTATTACATTAATACAAACATGGGGTACAGTGTAGTATTTTCATATACATTTTGAAATACTTTCATCAAGCTGGTTCACATAAATTTCATGTCATTTGCATAGTCATTGTGTCAAAACATTTACATTCTAGTTCTAGAAAAGATCATTTGTACCCTTGTTAGACAGAAATATAGGTGATCTTTCCGGTTACCCTCCCACCACCCATCCACCCTTCTCCCCTCCCCTTCCCCACCC